AAGCAATATTCATTATTGTATGCATAAGTCCACTCTTTTGTAAAGAAGACTGATCGTGTTTTGATCGAATATCATGCATTTTTCTAAGAAATTGATGTGGTTCTATCGCTGAGCAGCAATATTGAGAATACAAAGTTCGAATAGAACTAAGAGCAATAAACATATCTATAGAAACGATTGGTTTTTTAATCGTGTTGATCGCCGTTTAGCAAATCGTGAATTAAAATTGCTGCTTTGAATATGGCAAAATTTTAAATAATGGTGGTCTTACGGAAAAGGCAGGCAACGGGTATGCTATTTGTGCTTCGAAATATATTTAATATTCTATCGCTGTTTTGCATCAAGCAGTTTTCTTTCCATCATACATATGGCTTTTTCAACTATTCATCGATATTAATTGTTTAAATCTTCTTTATTGATAGGTTGAAAGGTGAAAAAAACTTTTTTCTATTTTTTGCTTTCAAATATTTAGCATGCAATTGATTGCGATTAAAAAGATTTCTGAATAAGTAATATCAGTAATGCATGCATATTTATTTATTTGCAAACAATTAAACCGATTTATTCTTTTTCTTATAAACTTGACTGTAAAAACTATTCGCCATTTTGAAATATTCGGTAAGCGAAAAAATTGCGCCCATTTAACAAAGTTTATCGTTTTGTATCGCAAAAAACTCTTATTTTTTTTGGAAAAATTGATAACACAATTCCTTCTAGAAGTTATTCAAACAAATTGCTTTGGAGTAGAGACTATTATGTCCGAAAGGGCTCCCTTAATAATTTTCCGGAATCTTGTTAGCAGTCGGATGGAATACGCTCGCTGGAAAGGCAAATTCGGCAATATCTATCGCATATTTAACACTATATTATCGAAAATTTTGTTTCGCTTTTATCATTAATCATTTAATACTTCTATATTAAGAAATTAAAAGATGAAGTAATTTTATCTCAAATTTCCCTTTCGAATCCAATTGCAATTTTATATTTTTTTTCTTAAGAGGTTCGATGCTCGTTAGCCTTGCTATGCTGACTTGTCGGGCCAGGCAAAACGTTAGCGATGAGTTACTTGGTGACAGAGATAGGTGAGATAATTTTATATTTCGAAAATATTGTCCCTTAAAGTATCATCAATCTTCTTAAAACCCTTTTTTTCAATGTATATGCAATAAAACACAATAATAATAATATAATAAAACACAAAAATTTATTTCAGAATAGAAACATACATGAAAGCAAGCCAAAATTTGCTCAGCTGCATCAGTGATTGCGTCTGTCATTATTTGGTCGATGGTTATGACGCTGAATGTTGATCTACTCAATTTCTCTTCTTAAGCTTAAACTTTACTTTCTTTTTTTTCTTCAGAAATCCATGGAAAAGCTCGGTTAGTGGAAACTTGTAAGGTCCAATTTATCATTTACACCTATCTGCCTCTTTTATTTATTTTTAAATTATCGAAAATTACCTGAAATTTATTATAAAACTAATTGCTCAGACTTTCAATTGTGCTATCAACAGTTTTAACGCTTCTTCCTTGACCATGGCTTACTTTCGCTTGCATCGTATTAATTTAATGTTCAATTGAAATTTCCTAAATGCTTACCTTTTAATCATTTTCGAGCTCTAAAGTTATCATCTGTCGATTTTCAAGCTTATTTGTTAAATACACGAGTTTTCATTTTCATAATCTTACTGCCGTATGCAGTCCGTTGATGGGCAACGTATCTAAATCGTGTTGTATTTGAAGCTAAACGATTTATAACTTGCCCAGCATCGTACTGACATTTTGACAAATAATTTAAAACAGATCAGCCCTTTAGTATGTGTATGAATTAATTGATGAGAATATGTTAAAATATTATACATTCATGAATCACAAATCTGCAATTCGCGAAACGTAAGATTAATAAACAATGTATATATCTCTTAGATGTATATATCTCGTAATCTATCGCCATATATCGCCTTTGTTAGATGTTTAAGGAGTTTTGTCAAGTATTCGCAAGGGGTTAGCCTTGTTGAGAATAAATCTTCATACTAATGCATCACTCAACCTCTCGATTTTTAATTTCAATTTAGGTTGCAATATTCATCGCAAAATATTCATTGTCCTTTTTAATAAATTGATTACGATATTAATGATAGTGTAAAAATAGATTAATAAATTAGTAAATTATTGATTGGATCTTGGGTTAAGAAAATAAAATTTTTAGAAGCCCCACCTTGCCGGCCTTGAAGGACAAAAACTAAATAGGATACCAATAGGGTAATAATTAAATATCATTTGGACGATGCAGGAAATTATTAGATATGCTGTGTTTGATTGTATGGTCATCTTAGTCTGAGGAAAATTAATCCTCCCATTGGAACTTAAATAATTAATTTTCCAATGATTCTTCTTTCAGGAAACACATTTTCTGATAATAGATTTATAGAGAAGAGCAGAAGATTCAAGAGGCTGATTTAACAGCAATTTTGGATATGAAGAAATGTTTGGGCGAAAATTTTTTCTAGTAATCTGTGGGCTGCTATGGCCATCTTATTGAAAGCCCTGAAATTAGGGTTGTTTCATTTTCTTGATTATGATCATGAGGACATCCGTTGGAATTAAATTTCTTATTTTTCGCATATCTCCAAGGTTTGACGAAGATTTTGAAGATTCCGCTGAGAACTTTTTTCCTGAGCGACTCTTCTTGCCACTCTTGCTGGTAATCTATCTACAATAAGAATTAAGATGGAAATATTATTATCATCTCCAAGATTCGCCATATGTCTCAAAATTCTTTCAATGTTTGCTCTAAGCAATCGAATGTCCTGATTCTTTGGAGAATCAACTGAGAGGACTATTCTAATTTATGATGGAATGTTGCGAAAATTATTTGTGAATTGCCGTATCAGTCTTCAAGAATTTTCCAAACTCTTTTATAAAATTGCTTGTCTATTGGGAAGTTGTTTTGCCTTTCTATCCAGGAACGACATCGAATATTTCAGTTTATCGACTGGTTGTAAATTGTATGAATCGATTGAGGACAAAAAACTGTCTCTAAATGAGGACCAGTGCCGAATAGCTTCATTAAAACGAGATGATTGCAGCTTGGGAAGTTGCACTATTTGAATACTTTGCTGGAATTGAGAGAGAAAGGATTGAGAGGGAGGGAATAATTCTTCAACTTTAAGTTTGAAATATTTTATTGATGTATCTAAATCAATACTTGTAATTTTTGCTTTTAAAATTAATTGTGAATAATTTTGTTCTTCTTTTACCCAGTTTATGTATTCTTTGGAATCTGATTCGTTAGAGACCATCACATGGGGGGCTAGCTCTCCCGCCTTGGTCAATACTACTCTGAAGAGCTTAATTTTTTGGCCTTCAAGGTCGCAAATCTTTAATAAATAGAAGAATCATTAGATTCATCCTCAGGAAGATCTCTTATGTTTAAACTATCTATTTGTCTTAAGAGGAGGTAAGTTCCTCTTTATAATGGTTCGCGACCTTTTTTATAGAAGACCTTTTTATTTTTATAGAAATAGAAATAAAATTTTAAAATATGTGAACCACAATTATTGCATCGAATAAAAATTATAACTTAAATAAATTAGATATAAAGATTTGATCTAACAAGTTAAATGGAAACAATATTTGAAATCAAACACTGCGGAAGAAAGGCTGGATTTGTCCTTGATTGGAATTAAACGATTTGCCTTTAGGATCAACGGCTTGAAAGGTTTCAAAATTGAAAATTAGAAGGCGGTGATAAAATTGATTGGGGTTATTGATTTACGCAAATAATTATTAATTTTATTTCAAAATTAAAGACTCCCCTTTTTGTCGATTCCAAAATACCAATAAGCCACTGTGGTTCTGGAGGTCCTATGCACCATATAAAAAATAGATTAATAAATTATTGATTGGAAGCAGTGGGATGATACTCGCCTGCCACGCGTTAATTATATTAAATAACCTTGATCTGGCTGCTTTCTCAGGACAGTAGAATAAATACTTATTACCGCACATATTAATAAAAATCTTTATCTCTTTGCCTCATACTTGGGTAATTAAACCAATTAATATATAGAAAAAAAATATTCGATATGAGTTAAATCCAGAGATAACTATTTCAAAACAAATAAGAAATGCTTAAACAATGTAAAGGATGTTAAATAACAAACTACATAATATTGGGACCCAATCGCTAGATCTCGGTCTCTTGGTGGCACCAAAAATGAGGCAAGAAGCATTTTCTTGAGTAGGATATACAATATACACTATAAATTATATTTGAAAGCAAAGAATTAATGAGTTGATGAAAGATTTCATTTGGCGGGTCGGGGTCACCATCTTGAAGTAATAATAGAAAACATCGCATTTCGCGACAGATAGAATGGCTTTGATAGCACCATAGGGTTGATTCTTTTCTCTTGACGAAAGTACCTGTCGTTAAAGATGAAATCCGGATGGTACTACAAGTCCGTCTGCACTCCTAACTCCTTGTGACCTTCTGGGAAAAAATTTTCATCCTAATAGTTAGCGAAGTCAGTCAAACTGGAAATGATAAAAGAAAAAAAAAAGGAATGATACATGCGACAATTTTATATGGTGGAAATAATATTACGACTATTTATGAAGACTTATTATGACTTATTATTATAATTTTAGGAAGATAGGTCCAAATATGAAAATGTGATTTTAGTAATCGATAGGTGTACATTATTGTATATGTATAAAAATAGCAAGAATTTTTATTGTGTCTTGCCTCAATGAATTTTTTTTTAAAGAAGCCTCACCATGTAGGCTTATATATCTTGTTTAATGAATTGCAAAAAACAAATAATAACAACAGTTTATAAAATGCAGCAAGCCGTCACCAAGTTTCATTTATTCGTCCTGAAGCTAACGACATAGTTTCACGACCGATCGATTAAATATAATGGAACGAGATTCATAATTCAAGTAAACCATTAAAAAAACCATATTTCCAAGAGATTATATTGAATGAAAATTTTAGTGAAAATGTTCAGTGTTTTGATTTCTTGCCCTATCGGTATTATTGAAAGGCTTGTGACGACCCACTTGGCAACAACAGCAGCTTCTATATATAAAAGTGGCAGGTAAATAACAGCACAAACAGGGCAAAAACAGCGAAATTAGCGCCAATATAAGCCATCTTTTTATCCGTTTATTCGTTAATGGCAAAACACAAGTACATATGTTCTGCAAAAAATAGATTTATAAAAATTTCTTCTGATTGTAAATGGAGAACTTTCTGAAAACAGTAGGAAAATATTGTGTCTCTTTTGTTATTACTTTTCACTATTGCGTTTCTTTGTTGCTTTTATTAGAATACCAATAATTCCTATTTGAATATTTCATAACAACGGCTTATTTGTGGAAATTAAATCGATTATACACCAACAAGTACAGGTAATTAAGCTCTAGCTCAAAATTATCTATCCAGTCTCGGCCAAATTATCTTTATTCATTTTAAGTTGAAGCGAGAAATCAGCATAATATGAGAAATGCAAACTGACATAGCCTTGGCCAAATCGTCCAATTTTTGGCGAATAATCATTTTCATCCTTACAACAATGATAAATAATTGCTTGTGCAATAGGTAAACATGTTAAACGTTGAATCAGCTTCTTGATCGGATTAGGGGCCTCTCTGAAGATATTTTAAGTCTAATTTCTCAAATTTTTTATGAATGTAATGGTCCACAATCTACGAATAGCGAGAGGCTTATAAGAAAACCATTTCAAAACCACGATTTTCAATAGTAATTAAAAAACTTTTTTATTAATATATTGATGCATGACTGAAAACAAATTTCTCCTAAAATAAATCATACATGTGAAAGTTTTTTTTTTTGTTTTTTCTTTATTTTTCCTCTAATATTGGATTGTCAAGAAAATGCACTTCGAGGATTTAAGTCACGGATCCTCCATCGTATGTTCCAATTTACTGTGATCTGGTTAGGCTCGTACGTTTGGTTTGTCGGACCAGATAAATTTTGCCAGGAATTCCTTTGGCGACTATGTGGTTGGGCAGCACTGCCTCGAATTTTTCATAAGTTTAATCACTATATCACTAAGAGCTTTGAATTATTAAATGAAAACCAGACATTTCACCTTGTTTCCATCTTTTTGATTCTCATGATTATGTTTTTTATTACCATTACGTTTTTTATAATATCATCTCATGATTCTTTCCTTCTTCTTCTTCATCCTGCAGTATTCATTATTTCTGGTTTGCCTGGTTCAGCTGACCATAAGAGTGAAACTTTTCTTCCAGTGAGTGAATTGAGAAATGGTTCCCAGCGCTAGATTTGGTTTGTGAAGACAAGTCCACTCCTCTAAGGAAGTAGGAAAATTGCCCTTTTACGCAATGGTTATTAAACGTGTTTCTTTGAACCACTCAACATGCATCATATGGTAAAATTTCATTCCTGGTTTCCTGGCAAAATTTATATGATCCAACAAGGATGCGGAGCCAACCTCGGGCCAGAAAAGGTGATTCCTCTAGGAAAAAAAATGGATTAAGTGTTCACTTGCAAGAACCTCGTCGATTTTCTCGTGGATTGTACCAATTTTGACAAAAAAAACAATTTTCTCGTGAAGTATCTCCCTGTGGAGTCTCTTTTTTAATCGGTAAAATAATCTGATCGCGCCTTATGAGAATACGAGAAACATTAATTGGTTTCAGTTTAACTATTTCCATCGAATCTGCAAAATGTGGTGTGAAATATGAAAATGGAGAGTGATGACCATTAACTCTGCAAATTGGTAAAATCATATTTATAAAAGTAAAGTAAGTGGTTAGTGCCCACCATTCCTAATTAGTCTAGTTTTCTTGGCTGCTGGTACTGTGGGAAATTTTTGCCAGAAAGTATCTTGTGGTAGAAATATAGGTAGGTCACCTAGATTTTTTAATGAAAACTTGATTCTTTTATTCGGAGGCAGAATCTGAAAGCCTCGATTTTCAAGATATATTCATATATATTCGGCATTTCTCAAGATGGTAATTTACACATATATTTATGCAAATATATATTATGGGTTCCTGATTATTTAGAATATTACTATGCAAATATTCATTGACCTTGATTATAATTTGGTACTAAGCGCATTCTTTTTACTGATTTTTTTGAATTCTCTATTCCACATTGATATTTCAAATTGCTAATCAACATTGATATAGAATGGTAATCTGCTGCCTGCAAATTAATATAATGCATTTAAAAATTAGTTTAATGAATATCTGAAACAAAGAAGACGAATTATTCTGATCAAACAGATCCAGGATTTTTTCCTCGATTTATAATTTTCAAAGTTTTAATCATTTATCACTCTCTGCCGAATTATGGCAAAACAATGCGTATATTTGGACAAAATGAAATGCCGAAAATAGAAGAGTAGAAAGAGTAGAAAGATAAGATTACTTTTGTTTTGTCTGATAATGGGGACCGTGATACGATGTTCCACTGGTCGCTAGGAGGTAAAACATTCAGTTCAGCATTTATATATTCATTTTCACCAGAATCATTGGATCTATCAAATCGATTGCTGAAAAAGAATAAAATCATTAAAAAAGAAGTTTGAATTATGTAAATTTATAAAATATAAGAAATCGCAAAATCTAAATTACATTATCAAAAGTTTTATTAGTTTGTACAAATTTTAAAAAAGCATGCCTGGTACGAGTTCCATTTGGTCTCTGTATGGCAAACAATGCATAATCTGTTGGAACAAGTGTCTCTTCGCTTTTTTTCATAAATAACGATGACTGTTCTAAATTACTCCTGAGAACAGTACTAAGATAATAATGGAAAAACTTGAGCTTGAGCTTAACTCGAGAAAAACTTAACATTATATCATTTCTGAGCGCAGTTAGCGGTCTTTTATTTTTCACATTCAAAATATAAAATTTTATAGGTTTAGAGCTTACAATTTCTGGTTAGACTAACTATGCTGGTCATTAGGATTATGAATCAATTGGCAATAAAAATGCAGCAGTCAATATAATTAACCGCTGATCCAAAGCTAAAAGGCAAGAGTTTTTTAAATTAATAGTAAGGATTTAGTCGCAAAAAAAGTAAAAATAACAGCTGAGATGGCAAATAGATGATAGATGATGAAAAATCAGAAGTATCAATGAAAGCTGCTTTATTTTGAAGACAATTTTAAAACCATATGCTAACGATGATTTTATATCCCATCTAATTCTCTGCATAATGCATATCTCTTTGAGACCATTTTAAAAAAAGTTCGCGTTGCGCAAAATTGGGAAAAGTTTTTTTCTTTTTCTTTAATTTAAGACTTATTGCATGTACCTTATTTCACTGATAATAAATCATGATAAATGAGTAAAATGAAAGCAGTAAATGAATGTTGAGCATTTTTTAAACTCGTTCTACTGGCGTGTCGCACTGGGCAGATATGCCAGGGGGTCCCATGGCGATAGAAGTAAAAGTGAGTCACCAGCACAACCGTAGAAGCAGATCTAATACACAAAATAAAAGTTGGAAATAAAAAAATCAGCAAGACATAAACGATTCACGTTATAAACCAATGAAATCATTAGATAAAAAATTTTTTTTAAAGTTACAATTAGCTGAGGACACTTAGCATAGCTTAACCTGTACGTAGCGAAGTTGAAAGTGAAACCTGATGGGGATTCACTTATACGTTTATCGCCAAGCAACTCTCTGGTTCCAGCCAAGACGGAAATGAGAGCTTCGAAGGAGAAGTTATAAATGAGGTAACAGCGCATAAAAAGTGAATTACAACAAATGGCAAAGGATAAATATTAAATTAAACAACCCAATCGAGCGATTCCATACCATTGTTTATTCTCTTTATGCTTTTCAGTTGGAGGCGGATTTTAAAAAATAGTTGCGAAAATTTGTGAACCATATGGAGAAACGTCAGTTTTGAAAAATTGCCCCTCATAAAACTTCACTTTATAGATTGCAATCGATATCCCAATTGTTAATTAGACAGCATTCACCTGGCAAAATTCTGAGATTTGCAATGGCTCTTGCGCTGTATTCATAAAGAAAATAGAAAATATGCATATGCGCCAGTAAATTTTCAAATTTTCTCGCAAATCCGAATAAAGCTTGAAATCTAAACTAAACCGCATATCTTTCCTAGATATTTCGATTTGTATTCGATTTCAACAAAGTTGGCTTATTTTGTCATTTATGATAAAAGTATGGGATTTTCTGGATTGAATTTCCATATTGAAAGAAGGCCGAACCAATTTCTTCAGACAAATTTGAAAGAAGAATTTGCTCGCGAACTGAAAGAAGTACTCAAAATCCGTCAAGGGAGGCGGACACCAATCCGTTAACATTTTTTAAGCGCGGTGAGGTGTTGGTTATAGCTGCTTGGAACGTCAGAATGCTTATGGATGTTGGAAGCAAAGCGATCACTGCCAACACCCTCTCTAAATATCGCATAGATGTTGCCTGTTTGTCGGAGGTCCGTCCGTCTTCCTCATGTCGGCTCCCTAGTAATTATTAAACCTAGTTCAGGGAAAAGATATTGGCTATATCACAGTAGTTTCTCGGATAACTCGGTGGGAAATGGTGTAGCGATTGTCATACTTGAAAAGGCTCGATCCACTTTGATTGAATGGAAACCCAGTAAATGACCGTATGGCTTACGCTCGTTTCAAAGGAAAGTTCTGCAATATTTCGGTCAACAATGTATATGCTCCAACTTTATGCGCAGATGACCGCGATAAAGATAAGTTGTGTGCAGAACTTCAACTGTTAGCAACATCCCTACCGAGAAGTGACATGGTCATACTCGGTGGAGACTGGAATGCGCATGTAAATCATGATGCCGTTTCGATGAACTCGGTAATTGGCAAATCCCAATGCGCCAATAGAGAACGCCTTCTCCGTTTTGCTGATAAGCATTAACTCTTTATTGCTAATATATGCTTTCGGTATCGGAGGAAACATCTAGTCACGTGGAACTTTCCGGACAACCAATATTCCAATCAGATTGACTATATATTAATCAGTCATCGTTGGAAGAGTTTTCTACTTGATAGTCGTTCTTATCGGGGCGCTGAAAACGTCTGGATCAGATCATGTTATGGCTCGAACCAAGATTCGTATAAAACTGACAAGTCTTAAGAAACAACATATCACAAGATCTTTCAGTTATCTCAAGTTAAAAGATCCGAGAACGATAAGCGCATTTCAAACAGCATTATTGAAATACTTCAGTGAGATTAATGTCAATGACATCTCTGGAATGGCGAATGAATACTAATCCCAACTAAAGATGCCTACAAAAGTCAGCCACTTCCACATTAGGGTATAGTAGTGGTAAGTGCATTAGTTGGATGTCGGAAGCAACTGTCCAACTATCTGAAAAAGCTGTCAAAGCCCGAATATCAGGAGATCAGGAGATCGGGTGTTTCGAAGAATTATAACGACAGCAGCACGGCGGGACAGAAATCGTTATTGGAATGAAATGGACTTGAGAATGGAGATGACGGCTCAATTAGGCGATAATAGGAAACTATTCCACCTTCTTCAAAAAGCAACTATAACTCGAGGAATTGTCGGTGAAGTGATATGGGATATTAATGGGACGCTTACTAAAGCAATTAAGGATGGCCTCGGAAGATGGAAAGGATTTTTTGATGTCAAACTTAACCACAATGCGCCATCTGTTGTCTCGAATATAACTAAAGAAGATGAAATAATCTCTGTAATTCATTAGCATAAGGCCAATAAAACTCCCGGAGAAACTGGTCTTTGGGCCGAACTCTTCAAATCTTGTCCATCGTCCTTCATAATGCACTTTCAACAAACGTACTCCCTAGTATGGGAAAAAGAAAGGTTGCCAGAAGACTGGAGCAAAGCAATTGCCTCCCATTCCTATGAAAGGTGATAAGATGTACTGCAACAATTACAGAGGAATCAGCCTACTGGACATCACCGGAAAAATTTTCGCTTCCCTTCTGCTAAATAGACTCATGGCAACACAAGATAGCAGAATGCGTCTTAAACAAGGTGGATTCTGACCTGGACGTAGTTTTGCTAACCAGATATTTACGTTAAGAAGGATGCTGGAACATCGCTACAAATACTAGCGACTCATCGTCGCTTGCTTTATCGATTTTGCAGCTGCTTTCGATTCGATTGATAAAGGAAAGTGATGGAATGTAACGGTGTCCCAGAGACGATCATTCGGCTCATAAAGGCATTTTATCAGCATACCCTGGCGCAATTTGCGTATATGGGGGACTGACAGACTCTTCTGAAATAAAAACTGGTGTCCGTCAGGGCTACGTCCTTTCCCTCACAATATTCAACTATACGGTAGACTGGATAATAGGCATCGCTTGTCGGCACTCAAGAGGTCGTAAATAAGTCCAGAATATAGCATCACAGACCTAGAATACGCTGATGATGTAGTCATTTTTGCTGACAGTTATGAGGAAATGTAAATAATGTTAAATAATGTATCAATAACTGCAGCGAGATTGGACTCAAAATCAATGTAAATAAAACGAAATTATTTTCCTCTTATATACAAGATGCTGATAAAATACCTATTTTTATCAATTCATTGCCAGTTGAGGAAGTGCTGGACTTTAAATACCTTGGATCCACTGTATTCCCAGATAAAATCGTAACCCGAATAACAACAGCTAGAATTATGCTTTTCCGATTGATGAAACCTTTATAGAACCGTCACGAAATCGCTTCAATGTTCGATCTTGCTATATGGTTGCGAAAGATGGCCAATAAGAGTGGAAGATATATTAAGAAGCCACTAGCCTTTGACCACTCTGGCCTAAAGTATATTTTATAGGTCCATTGATCGATAAAATATCACATGATTGCATCCATCTTCGTTCAAATATCACTTGCATTAACAATATTATTACAAAGCGTCGCCTTCGATGGTTAGGGCATTCTCCATCGTTCTCCATCGTCCAGCAAAGGAGTTGGCGTATATTTCGTTATTTGCTAACCCTGCGATGGGTATTAAAAGCAGGAGGACCAGTCAAGACCTGGACTGATACAATCAGGAAAGATTTTGAACATATAGGGGAACCAGCGATATATGGATTTAGACGGAAAAAGGAATGGCTACTAATAACGATGGCGTCGGACATGGCGAGCAGCTTGGAGACTCTTGTAGCCAGCGGACCCAGCTTAACCAGTAATGGTGAGAGCTGTTAGAAGAAGAAGAATTTGAAAGAGTCGATCGTTTCTATTTGAAGACTCAGAATAATAAATTCTTCCAGTTGTCTTTATGAAAAATTTAATCTGAGCAACAAAAAGTTGAAATGCAAAAAAAATCAATTGCAGTTATCGCAATTGTTAATTTTGTTAACCAATTAGTGACAGTTATCGTCAAATTGGCCTGGTGAAAAAATTGTGGAAATGGAAGCAACCAACTCGTGTTTTGGTCGCTTTCTGTGACAATGTTAACAATCCACTTTTATAGCTTTATTTTTAGGTTTTTAATAAGGCGCTGATATCTTTTTTTATACCTTTATTTATGTTTTGCTTTTATAGAAAAAATTATCATTTTTCTCTTTGATAATCTGATTTTCGCCTAAAATTCAGTGTTTCCAGTTTGGCGACAATCGTCATTTGGATACCGTGAGAAATCAACTTGCTCTTGTGGCGAAGCCTAACTAATGATTACTTAATTAGTAACAGTGGGCGCTGTATGAAGATACAGAAGAAGAAAAAGAAATCACCAATGTGAAAAATTGACTGATAATTTCTATAAAATTTTGTTGAAAATGGCAATTTTTTTCCTAAAAGTATCTAAAAAATCCCTTTGCGCGTAGATAATTTTAACTAATAGCAATTTATCTAATGA